CATTTCTACCCCCGATATTTGATCTAAATCGCAGCCATAGTCCGCCTCAAGGACTCTGAAAATCACCCATGGCTGGGCTTTAGCAGTTTCCTACATATTCTAGTTCTGATCCTGCCAGTAATATGTGAGAACCGTACTCCGCGGACTGTATATATATCTCGAGAAAAATAATATTTTGGGCGGCCTCACGCTCCCGTTCTATCGATAAAGAGATCTTCTATCGAATAGGACGGGGTGTTTTTCCAATTCTTCCCTGGTTGATTTACTAGTGCGGCATAACTAGCACCAAAATACTTCTCTACTAGTATCTTCCTGACGTTTTTGAACTGAGCCATTATTGCATACACCCAAAATCATGAGCTTGGCGTATTTTTGTATGGTATGCAATATCAGTCGCGTCCACAAACGTCAGGAAAATACGAGTATACTCAATTTGCATTAGGGGCCGAAGAAACACCGTATCAGTGATAGACCAATAGACATCACATGCCTGTAGGAACTGAGTTCATAACCCTGCATTCCAATACAGACTCGTAAATTATCCAGAACAAATTCGTTTGCCTGTGTTTGCTTGCGGGAAGCCATCAGCTATTCACCAAGATAGAGACTTTGCGTCGTAAAAAGGAATATCCCCACTTTTGACCGTAGAGGTCGACGTCTGTACCTACTCTAGAGAGGCGACGCGGCGAAACGAGGGGTTGTAGTTTCCAATGGTCATAGGTTAGGTATGCATCCCACTTTTCATGATGATGATGTTGCTCAAATACGCAATTTTCAATTGGATCTGAGATTTTGTGACGTTTATGTCTGTCCAAAGTACAGGGGGGGCTTTTTCGATCTGCATCCCATCCCCAGAAGAGTGTAGTGGTGTTTCCACTTCACCTCAAAATTGCAGTGGTACGCGATTCGATCCTTGTAGTTAGGGGTGCAAGTTTACATCCATGCAGAACTTTGGACTAGCTATATTTTGCCAAGCTGGTAGTCCTCAAATTCTGTCTCGTGCCCGCGTGCTCAGCTGCAGGTAGCGAGTGATATCGGTAGTTGGATTGCTTGACATCGGTGGTGTGGTTAATTGTTGTACCTACATGTACCGAGTATTATTTATGTGAATATTGCGTACCGTCATTTACGATTGGATGATTGCATGATATTGTGGTTACCTATGTGCACAAAAAACTTTAGCGCTTTCATGATATCTCGATATCTCAGTAGGTACAGGGCTGGATAACTTGGCATATCTGCATGCTAAATTGCATGTTAGCTTGTGGGCCTGTCCGGTCTTGAGATATAGTACCTGCTCTAAGTTTACCAGTTTTGTATATGTTTTTTCCCCTCTCGGATTCACGTACATACCAACAAACATCGTTATCTCTTGCTGTCGTTTGCGGTATCGGAGACAAGCTTAAGTCGAATAAGCAGACATGTAATTGATCCGATTGGTCAGCCCCATAATGCATCCACATCAAAGACAAAGTTGAGTCAAGTTTTGCGTCCCAGAGCAGGTGTCCTCAAAACCTTATTTCGGAGGTTTCATACCCTCTAAGCCCTGAGTCCTTGTATGTACCTACATGTAGGTCGTGTATTATTGCCAGGGGTGCCAAGCCATTCCAGATCTGCGCCCCCTTTGGATCTTGATCTTGATCGTGAACCTCTCGCCCCACCATGGCGAGTTGACGTCGGATTAAGGTTATCATGACAGATATGGAATGTTAAGCGAGAGTACATGTATTTAATATTACTATGAGTAAGCTGACGCTGTCTGAGCTGCTTGCCAAACCCCTAGAGATATGTACCTCAAACTACACTCATATGAGTACTGTGACGCACATTAGGTGTCTGCTCGTCACTCGTGCCATATCATAAGCTGGTGTTACACGAATACGTAAGATAAAGCTGGTCTAAAAAGTACTATTCAGTCCGGCCTTGGACAGCAAAATATAAATTAAGGGCCAATCCCTCAACATCGCCCTTCTTCTTCTTCTTCTTCTTCTTCCATCTTCTTCTCTCTATCGTGATTGATTGATTCATTCCAGTCATCCAACATCAACCCTCCTTGCGATGTCCCGTTATCACCCATCACCAGGAATCACATTCTGTCACTCGATCAGCCCATTTGGGATTGAGGCTGAAACCCCACTCTCGTGGCGCGCAACCGTGGCTCAGCTGCATGGCGCAGCGGACTGGGCGGGCCGGGGAAAGACCACATTGACCCGTCCCCGGTAAGGCAAACAGCTAGATTGCAGTTGTTGGAGAACCATGTACTGATATTATATTAACGCAGCTGATACCAACACGTCTATATAACCTGCCAACTCCCTTGATTTGGAGCTTCTCAGAAGAGACGGCAGTACTATCGATAACCAGTGCACTATGAACACAGGGAGTCCCTCGAATATCAGGAATATGCCACCGTGAGTTGATACTCCCTTGTCGAGGTTAATGATGACACTAACCTAGATAATTAGAGCCACTGCCCGCTCCGGGTCCAGACCTGGCAGCGCTCTAAATCTAGGGAACAACAAAATCCGCTTAATCGTCGTTGCCTCGACTATTGTCGCCTTCCTCTACCGCTCTTTAACGCAGCGTTCTCCACTCCTCTTTCTTTCTGCCCCACCCGCTCTCCCCAGCACCCACGGCTGCACCATCCACCACCCCACAATCCTCAAAAATTGCGAAGACTTCTCACAGCTCCCCGGTACGCCCTACACATTCCTCTCCTGCGACCCTGCCCGGCGAGAATGGTCTCACGTCTTCGGATCCTACCCCAGCAAGGCCGCTGTGGGTGAAGTCTACCTCTGGAACCATCTCACACCCGAGACAGAGCCAATTCTCATCTCCGGGCATGCCTCCCTCGGGGGCGACTTCCATCCCCTGGGCCTCTCCCCCGTTAACGTTACCGACGGGATTGCCCGTGTATTCGTGACCAACCAGGCGAAAGCGCGCGCGACAATCGAGGTGCTAGACGTGCTACTTGCCACAGGAGAGAGCAAGCACGTAAAAACAATCTCTAACGGCAGCATCCACTCCCCGAACGGTATCGCGGCCTATAACGCAACAAGCTTCTATGTCAGTAATGACATGTTCATGGCGCGACGTTGGTCAACTGCTGTACTCCTGGAAGCACTCTTCGCTATTCCTGGGGGCACAGTCGTGTTCGTCTCTGTTCCCGCCGAGGAATTCGCTGCACTCGACGCAGTCGTCGAGAAGAAGCGCGAAGGAGCAAGCGAGATGAGTGTTTCCACGATCGCACGCATCTCACTCGCCAATGGGCTTGCTTACAACCCGCACGACTCGCGCCTCTATGTTGCGTCCTCCACACATGGAATCTACACCTACTCGCTCCCCGACCCAACTTTACCCTCATCCGTCCACCCGCACTCCTTCCATCGCACACCCTTCGCGCCCGATAACATCTTCTACTCGCACACACAACGCACGCTCTATATCAGCGGCGTGTCATCCCTCTCCGCCGTCGCAACATCCATGATGTCTCCTGCAGCGCCCCGTCCTCCATCCTGGACAGTAGAGCTCCTTCCAGAGCTCCATCGTATGGGACAGGTCGAGGAGGGCGTTCTGAAACGCGAGAAGGCGTTCCGCGCAGTGGATCTGGCGAATCGGCCGTTGAGGGAGCAGGAGAGGCGATGGAGGAGTGTATTCATGGATGATGGGGGGTTCTATGGTGGTGTCAGCAATGGAGGTGTTGTGGACGAAACAGGCAGATTTGTCGCGGTGAGTTTGGTAGGGGAGGGGGTGCTGACTTGTCCTGGCGTGCTGGAGAGGAGGGGCGTTCTAATCAAAGAGGAGGTTTCGGAGAAAGATGAGTTGTAGGTAGTTTAGTTTTTCCTAGGAGAAGGTAATTAGATATATTATCTAGCGTATTTATGTATTTCAAAAAAAAAAAAAAAAAACGTGAAATACTGTGGGAATAATCATTGACCATAATGTATCCCTAACCCTACCGAGCACCAACGAGCATCTTGGGTGACAACGCAACAAAGCCTCACCAGTTCACTGCCTCACCAGTTCACTGCCGCACCCTACAGTCCCAATTGATGATGCGAATGGTCCAAATACTACTCTAGACCCTCACTAAGTTTTCTGGGCTTTGGAGATTTGGAGTTGATCGGTTGCGTGGTTCTTCGGGACCGAATAAGGATTTGGCTATACGCAGTACGGTTTTACCAGATCATCGACACCCAATTACATTTCAAGAAATTTCTATTCCACCATGTACTGTGACGCCCGTTTTTTACGCGAACCAAGGGCCTTGTGTAGTATATGTGTGTTTCTATTTCGGTATTTATGGCGGTCAACACAACACATCAATTTTTTCCCCGCATACTAACCCATGGACAAGAAATTACTCATAGGGGGGTGATGCCGAACCGAGGGGTTAAAAGTGCTCATCAAAATCTCCAGTGCTTGAAAAGAGGGGGGGCTAGGGCACCTTCTCCCTACCTAATTCACCGGTGGAGAGTTTAGTAAGCTTTGAAGGCTTGTTAGTGTATGGTAAATTTAAGGTATGACGACCTTAATACTTAACAATCTCTTCGTCTAATGAGTGGTTTTCGGAATCTCCTGTATGGACTGTTGGCCCAAGATAAGGCTTTAATCTTTGAGTTCAAATATCTATGAAAATAGTTAGAGTTAATCGTTCAAAAAGTCTGGCTTAGTTGGGATTGGGACTTTAGTACGTGTGAACACTAGTAAAGAAAAATCTATTCAATCAAATCATATAATTGTACAATTAGATTAAAGGATCAACTTGAATTTAGCTCAAGTTACTTAGCAGTATAAATACATGTAACTTTTTCAGAGTTATGATTTATCATACATGGTATTCTAACTAATTCTAACCCCACCGTCTAAAACCCAATCACCTGTATGTCGAGTCTTGGCGGAAAATCACAACCCCATAGAGATATTAGTAACACCTCTACTATATACTAACAGCTACCTATCTGGCTTGGCATGTTATAAACATAAGAATTTGCCCATGTTCAACCACCGGGATTCTCTAGACTATAGGGCCGCACCTGATCATGATCATCATGGCTCATGAGTGAGAGACCATTTGATCTCATTTCGCATTGCCAACCCAACACCACAAGCTGTTCTGCCCTATACCTACGGGAAAGGTCGCTCTCCAGTATATCCTTATCCTTAACAAGCTCCAGGGTAAGAGTAACCTTGCTAGGCCCTCTGGGCCCCAATCCAAACAAGAACGATTGTTCCTCCATCAACGCTGCCAACTTCTCAGACATATTGGCTAAACACTCTTTGGTTCTAAATGTCGCACAGTAGATATAGAGTAAGTCTTCATGTCTTCAAATAGGGAATATATTTCATAGAATACCGGTTGATCTCATTCTTAATATACATTTGCATATTTGAATCATCTATGTACGTAGAACCTAGTATGACGGTTGAGTAATCGACTTGTGGTGCATATGGAATCCCGAAACATGCGCAATAGAGCTCTTTTCGCACCGATGATAAACTGAAATCCAAACTTGAGAGCATTGGCTCCCAAGTTAACATCGAAGGATTAAGAGTAGGAGGAAGCGGCGGCGGTAGTGATTGTGCTAGGATATCGTCGGCTTTGTTTATATGGCGTTCCTCTGCCGGCGTTGAGAGAAGAGGTAGATAAAGATTTTGTGAAGAGGTAGATAGGTGATCAATATCACGAGTGTTGAATGGGGTCACGACGTTTGTAAGCGGATGCTCATTATTGGCTTCTACGTCTTGGGCAAATGCTGAGAAGGCAGACGTGGAAGATGTAGCTGTATTCCTTTTGGTCGGTAAATTTAGGATATCGTGAACGAATATCTCGGTGTTTGGAATGCTCATTTCGCCGACAACACCTGTATCTGGCAGACTAGGTGTTGGTTCCGGTGTTGAATACTCTATAGCCATTTGTGGGGTATTGGTGGTGGTAACTTTGATTCAATTTTGTTAACAAACCATGTAGAAGAGACAAAAATATAGTAAATACGTACCCATATCGTTTATCGGGGATCCTAGGCCAAGCCCTTTCTCTTCTCTGCGGCGCCTCCCTTTAGCACGCTCAAACCGTTTCTCAGTAATGGGTTGGCCATGGAGTCTGAACTCTGTTTTTTTGCCTTTTTGAGCCCGCGCTTGTTGAATATCTAACATCTCAGTAACGTTGTTCTTGCGTAAATATTTTCTCAAGCCCCATCTCTTTATTATTGTCTTGCATTGTTTTTCGCTAGGAGATAAAAGATAAAATCAGCGCCTGTAATATCATTTATTCCACAATACTCACATTATAGGGAGATATATATACGTACTTTGCAAAGAACCCGTGACGCTCCGCCATTATCTGCCTTACTTTCTCAAGTCCAAGGTCATCGGTAATGTACAGCCTTGTGAAATTATTTCGCTGCGTTTCCCACTCTCCTGCTGTAATGACTCGTTTGGAGTCTTGGAATTTTTTTTCCCAGCTGCTTTGGGTTTTTTTGGTCCGAGTTTCCATTTTGAGAATTCTGCGATCCGTGTTTGCACTGATATTTTGAATCGATATGTATGATGGCCAGGGTACTATTATTGAAGTTCGACGGGTTGGTTCTCCATGCATGTGCCACTAGATTTGACGTATATATATATTTGCTGGGCATAACATGAGCTCGTGAAGAGGAGACTTCGATCTTTAACTATAATCTTCCTCCATGGCCGGAGATAGTGAGCTCGAGATCGAATCCGCAGTATCCTGGATTGGAGGGCTCTATGCAGCTGCAACGTAAACCTGGCATCCGCTTCGAGATTCAAAAGTGCCATACAGGTCTTGGCAGCTTGATATCAGCCGATTTCTCAAATGTGACCTGCCACGTGCACCGAATTTGTATGCAATATCAGCTTAAGTGCAAGAATCCAAGAATGCATATCCTCCCCCACATTTGATGAAGAGCCCAAGTAAGAAGAGGAATGCCCGAGTTGAGCCTGGGATCCAGGGCGCCAAGTGCTGCAAGGACCGTTTTGAGCATCTTTACATACTCTTGGATAGTGATAGTGTATCTTTCAATTCTCATGCAAGCATTTATGGCTTTGGCGACATGCAGGATCGATGAAGGTTAATGAAGTTGTAGATTTTGTCCAATAACATAGCGTCACTCCTACCGTGAAATACATCATCACTGTCACAATAGCTAAATGATTTACTTTCTATTGAGACGCTTGGGTTTCTTTCTTTCTACAGTTCTGTGGCGAGATAATAGATTTGGGTGTTGTAGTTGAGGCGTGAGGTCCTCCGAATCAATGTCACCTCAATTTATTAATTTCCTAGTCAGGTATAGTACTATAGTAGTAATAAAAACACATGAAAAGTATGTATCATACCAGACTATTAAAGATATTACAGAGATGGAACCCATAAAAGGATGTGTAGCTCATGCTCAGAGACCAGGCTCACATCTGGTGGCAGTATTATATATGGCCCGTTTGGCTATTCTGGAGGTCTCGAAACTCCGTTAAGTAACTGCTCCGTTAGGCGATGGTAAACAGAGCTTTCAAAACGGAGTTTGAGTTTATTTGGCCTGCCAAACATTTGATTGTTAACGTTGATTTTTGGGAATAACGAATCGGACTGGGCTGGAATACCACTTTAATTTGGGTCTGTCGGATTGAGGCTCAACACGCATTTGACCAATCTGAAGCCCAGTATTCCCAGTCCAGTTCGATTCGTTATTCCGGTACGTTATCCCCTACCCCCAAAAAACTCTGTTTCAACACCTACCGGAGTTACAAAATTGGCTGTCCGAACACAAACCTTTTTTGACAAAACGGAGTCCCAAAGAAAATGAAACGGAGTTATGTGGTTGCCATACAAATCTGTCTCATAACTGATCCGTGTCGACAGGTAGCCAAACGGGCCCTTAATTGGTTGATTGCTGTTAGGATCCGGACTAGGTTTTAGTATGTGATCTAGTTGAGGCTCATCCATCTCTGACATACATATGCACTCTAGGTTAACACCCGGGCCAATTTTCAAGTTTTGGCGGTAAGTAGAGTACTCTATGTAAATAGACGGCCACCAAAACGATGGCGCAATCGATCGGCCTTCACCACCACGCAAAAAGTTCCTTGTACACACGTGCCGGGCCAAAAAACTTGAGAAAAAGAAAACTCTTCCAGCCATCAAAATTTAAATCCAATAGGCCCTCCTGCGCAGAAGGCTTCCCCAAACCCTTATTGCCAAGAGAGGAAGTTCATTTGCGCGTGGTGGTGTCGCGGCGGGATCGGGGCACAATCCAACAGAAATCTGCCCCGCCCATAAACTCGAGCTATAGAGACAAGCTCATATATAGCGAGGGGTAGAAATATGGGAAGATCCCTATTGTCCAACGCTTTGTTACGTATATCAAGCCTATCCCACGGTCCGTTAAAGCTGACCCCCCTATAATAGAGGAATTAAACGCACGGGAGATCTATTACTTGATAAGAGAAAAGCCACGCAAAATTTGCTTTTTTCGGGGGGTCAGCATTTCACATGACGGGCGATGGGATAGTAAACAAACTGTATGAGTTCCATACAGCTTCTTCTAGAGATAGATAGGTCTACGCATATATATCTAATGATCTATTTATACCTATTTTCTCCCGTTAAGTAACATAAGGCTTCCAGCTCGAGACTAGCTAAACTCGCAAATTGGAGTAAAAAGGCTTAAGCTATGTAGCTCAGCTCACAGAAAGGAAGGACAGTGCCTCAGGTTCATATACACGCACTTTTCAATGTCTAATCATAAGTTCTGTATTTTTGTATATAATAATTCACAATACCCGAGTGACATGTCGTGATATAGGGCTGAAATCGATGGTTCGAATACTGTAGCAACTAGGTATCTTAATAAAAACATATCTACCTCATAATAACAGGAAACTCTCTTAATCTAGCTTCGCATTTGAGCCCTCATTTGCCAGAGAAATAACGGTCTTCACCGCACTCTCCAGGTCATCAAATGCAAACAATGGTAACCCGCTTTCACGTATCTGGGTTGAGATCATCAGCATCTCTAAATAATCGCTAGAAAGTATAAGATAGGAGGACTTACAATTTTCCTCCCCAAATCTTCATTCGTCCCTCTCAGCCTAACCACAACTGGAACCTTGACGCCTAACTCTTCGAAGGCAATTACAATTCCCTCTGCAATCATGTCACACATTGTTATTCCACCGAATATATTCACTATTATGGCCTTCACGCGCTGATCCTTTAGCAATAACCTAAATCCTTCTTTCACTGTCTCCTTTGTCGCTCTACCGCCGGTATCGAGGAAGTTTGTTGGGGCACCACCATGGTGCACGATCACATCGCACGTATTCATTGATAACCCCGCCCCGTTGACTACATAGTGTTAATAAATTGGCAACATCCTCTTTTAAGTTAACTTACCAAGTGTTCCGATATTGGCGCCTTCTCCGGGTAGCTTGACATACGCAAACCCGGCCTTTTCTGCCTCTAATTCCTCCTCGACTTCGTTTTCAATATCTCGTAGAGCATGCAAATCTTTCTGCCTTCCTGCGCTTCTAAATGCGGCATCATCAAATACGAACTCGACACTCTCCTCTTCGATCGATAGATTACCAGGTGTTACCGATATACTTGCTATGGATAAGTTATACGCTTCACGATCCCTAAAGATCTGCCATAAACTCTCCAGAAGTGATGATAGGTGCTCCAAAGTCCATTCCGGCAGTTCCAAGTGCTTCACAATGTTCTCCGCTGTGTGAGAGAGTGATTCGGTATTATAGTCAACTGCAAATCCGGTCAGAGACGGTTTATTAGGTGAGCTGACAAAAAAGCATGGAGAGCTGGAGGAGCGATCGATTGTTAGTGAGAGCCCAATTTTTTGCGCAGTGTCCTTTGTGAACGATTCGTGAGCTTCAAGATGCTCATGAGTGTCCACCCCAGTTTGCTGTAATAAGTTGGCAGCTTGGCTAAGTCTGAGATGCAGGCTGCGGTGCTGAATAGGTGTACGGTACTTAAGTGGTCGGAAGCTTGTATGGTAATCTCGTTTCTAGGGAAACGGATTAGCTAGTTATCTTTAGGATAAAAGAGATCAAATTCAAGCCTACCTGCACAGTCCGACCCAAGATTCCCAGATTACCCGCACTATGGACTTCCGGTACGAAGCCAAGAAGTTTCGCCATGCCTGGTCCAAATTGTGCCGGATCTTTCACCATAACAACCCCCGCTGATTCGAGCTACGACCCCAGCATAATTAGCGGTGTCAATGATCAACCTTAGTGATAAAATAAAACATACAGCCTTAATCTTGTCACTCGCACCGACATCTCCCACTCCCCGAATTGCTCCAGCATGACCCATTACCCTCCCTCCCAGTGTCGTGACACCACCAATGAGTCCCATTACGGGCTTTCGCTCCCCCTTCCAGCTACTCAAAATATCGGCCACCTCGAGCTCAGTATTTCCACCCACTTCACCAATAATAATGATACCCTTAGTGTGTTTATCCTCAAGTAACACTTTAACTCCATCCACGAGAGTTGTTCCCGCAAGCCAGTCACCGCCTACACCAATTACAAGAGATTGACCAAGATTTACACGCGTTGTAGAGGATACAGCCTCATAGGAAAGAGTGCCGGACTTGGCGACGATACCGATACACCCAGAGGAGAAAGAAGGGTATGGCATGAAACCGATACGGGTACGAGTATGAGGGTTGATTATTCTGAGGCTACTGTCAGAAATGATTCGCAGTAATGATCGTGAGTTGAAGCCTACCCAGGAGAATTTGCCCCTATGAGCCTGGTTTTTGACTGTGTTTTGAGCATGCTATGAATCTAACTCATTTGTCAACCTCTCCATAACAGATTTTGAGACGAATGGAAAGATAGGACGGACGCCAACCCCAACTCATACCTCAAGGATATCATGAACAGGAACGTGCTCAGCAACTGCAATTACTAGCGGGATTTCAACTTCAATTGCCTCCTTTATGGCGTTGGCTGCATATTGTGCTGCTACGAAGACAGCCGTTGCGTCTGGTTTCAAATATTTCATGGCTTCGGTCATTGTTGGAAACAGGGGAAGCCCTAGATGGGCCCCTCTCTTATTAGGGCTCACACCACCTACGATTTGAGTCCCATAGTCAAGCGATTGCAGTGCATTTGCGGTTGCCTGAATTAAATCAGTATTTATAACACATGCGAGCGCCCTCCGGGAAAATATGCTGGGGGGTGGAGGAGAGAGGAGGCATATATAAAGACTGTTCTTCTTACCTGCTTTCCTAAAACGCCCAACAAAAATTAGATAACTTATTCCAATTAATCAAATTGGAGTTGTATTGCTGGTTTCCATGATATAACGCACGAACCTGTGAACCCTTGATACATGACCCTCGTAGACGCGCCAACTTTCAAGTTCCCAAGGGTCTTTTCATATTTGTCATTTCCCCCTCTATAGATCAAGGGAACCTTTGGCTGTGTAGTTGAATAGCTGCGGGCACCAGCGGACAAGCGGGAGACCGCAGCCCGGTGCTCAAAGAACCTCTGCATTGTGCCAGCTTTCCACAAGGTATCTATAACCCACAAATAGATGCCGTAGATACTAATGAAACCAGTAGATATAGCAAATAGTTCACGATCAAGCGTTTAGTGATGGAAATCTGCTGTATCTCTTCTATATGCGGTGTAATCGAATCGTGTAACCCAACTGTTGTTGAATGAAATAGCTGTATGGAGCTCAATTGTCGAACGACAACTGTGCTTTACGTCTTTGGCCAATTAGATGGAGATAAATGCCGCAGTGGGATGGTGTACTTGCCAAAATAAAAAAGTGCTTTCTTTGATGCCTTTACTCTACCAACAGCTAGCACAAAAGCAATTCGGCAACGGCTCGTTGTCAAGATGCCAAGTGTTGTGGAGAAGCCGAGATCCGGGGTATCTTGACAACGCTTATTTTCTCGCTTCTGACACCCCTGCCGGCAGCATCACACCTCTCCCCTAACCCTACCCTTTTTACCAGTAAAGTGAAGCATATGTAATCTATATAGCACCGTCTTCCTCTTATCTGTATCTGTTTAACTTAAGCAGAACTATCGTAACAGATGTGCTGCTTTCTGTACATTTTCTAATAAAACCCATCTAACCTAGTGGTTACACGGGTTAAGCTCAACCTCACCTCAAGTCAACACGGTGAATCCTTAGCTCGTACGAAGTTTTTGGTCGGATTCAAATTTGAACTCTGTTTTTCTCACGACTTAAGATCCCAAAAATCCTCGTCTACGCTCCCTCTTCTCTCTTGTACCTATACTATTCCGTTCCAACTTTACTTGTCCGCAAAATGAGCACAGGTACTCCGTTTTCTTTTCTCCTACCAACTCCAGCTAACGTGGGCTCCAGAACTCTCAGACAGTTTAAAAAAGCTCTCGCTCGCACAATCTGCAAAGACTCCCGCTCAGAAAAAGAAGAAGCCCGTGGTTGCCGACTCCTGGGAAGATGAAGAACTATCCGACGACGAACCAGTAGAGACTCCCGATAAAGTCCCATCACCGCCGCCGCCCACTCCCACCACGCCCTACCCACCCGGTCATTCACGGGATAGCTCGAGTGTATCCTCTATTGCCAGCCCACGAGGCCCCTCAAGCCCTCGCGATAGTTACATCGAGACACCTGATTCATTCTCGCGAGATGGGTCCTCAGCCAGCAGTGAGAGGACCGTTAGACCAAGAACGACAGATGCGGTAGCCAGAAGACTGATTGCCGGAGCGCTGGGTGTGAAGTCAAAGAGTACAAAGGAGCAAAGGGAGTATGATGCTGCTGTAAGGGCGGCTGAAAAGAAGACGAGGGACGCGGAGAGAGAGAAGAAGAAGGCTGAGGAGGCCGAGAGGGAAAGACTCAGGACATCAATTTGGGAAGACTAGAAATTGTGTGGGATCATTTGCATGAAAAGACCCGGGTTGTTTGCCTTTTTGTTTGTTTTCTCATGGAACAGGGCGTTTTTGTTTGCCTTGTTAATCAGCATATATTGATCAGCTAGCATCATATATTGATCAGATAGATGCTTTAATTGTAGATCTTTATCTGTGGGAACTCACCCCGCACCGAACCTATCAACCTCGAGGTGTCATGGAGTCTTTTGACCCGTGGATGCAACTGTAGCTGTCCGTAATTCAGTTGTAGTCCGTTACAAATTTTAAAAGGAATCGTGAGCTAATGGGTACTACTCATCATTGACTCTTCTCTCGTTCCGTATTATATCTAGAAGAAATCTTGAGCTTAGCTCCATTATAGACATGCTCTTGACCATGAGTGCTCTGATCAATCCCTTAATGGTCTGTTAAATGAGCGCCTTCGAGTGTCGAGAATCACTACAGTATCTATACATATCTAATCAACAGTAGTTGAAATCCGGAGAAATTCGGCCTTAGAATTCGTTCCGCCTCATATGCGCGCACCCATGTGAAGTGATATTAAAGTCTGTGTATGCACGTACGGTGAACATCATATCAAGCTGCTCGTAGTAGCAAGATATTAACCAAATGATTCGGCGATAATCCGGTCAAGTGTGAAGCGTTTAGTTTTCTGAAATTCTGATTCATGCCTCATTAAAACATCGATCATAAGATTTTTATTTTAACTCACAACTCGCGCTCCTTCATCGTATACCCTACCCTTAAAGCCAAATATCGCAACAGAATAGTGCCCGTTACTTGGGAAGAACTTATAATGGATCTGGTCTTCACAAGATGTCAAATTAACACCCTCTTTGAAATTTATCGACTTGATATTCATGCGATAATAGAAATCCATTTCCTCATAAAGACATTAATTAGCTTTCCTACAAGTCATATCTTCGAGGTATCGCTATCTATTTCACAACAACATAAACGACCACAAACCAGACTTTAGCAAAATGTGGTTTTGTACCCAAGACTCGAGTGATATACCATGACGTAAATTTAAGTTGATTCATTGATTGATTGATTGATGTCTTCGTCAGGTAAATACAGCTTTCTAGCTATAAAAACTTTAACCATCATGATCACAATGTCGAGGTTGGTAAATTCAACATCCAATCCCGTCAACAATCGGCATACAACTTGCTTTCTATCTTGAAAGATGCGATACAAGGTCCCCCCCCACGTAAGTTCTTCTCTTCCACCTTTCAACCCGGTTTCAAAGTTACAGATTGTCACCTTTGGAGAACTTTTCTTATATAAAAGGCTTCACAATTTGTGTTCTAAGTCTTCATCACCTCATCTAGACATAGAACTACATCCACAACAAAACTACAATCTCACGATATTAACTCACAGCTTTCACCACTACACCACTACACCACAAACCTAATAACACCAAGTCCCCATCTACAACATGAAAATCCAACTCCGCATCATCACCTCCTGGCCCGAAAAAGTCCCTCCCCCACAAACTTCCCCCCTCGCGGCCGCCCGCCTCGCAGTCTTAGACTTCTGCCAAGAGCTCCGCGACACCAAGACCAGGCACTTCGCCTTCCGAGCCCAGATCCAAGAACGTCTAAACCACGATATATCATTCCACCACTTCTGTGCCGTTGAGAAGCTGTGTAGCGAGGATGTGCTTTGCCAGATGCATGACAATAACGTGACCCGGTTTAGGAACTTTGCTGAGATGCGGCGGATGTGGGGCTTTCGGGAGAAGACGCTCTTGGAGAGGTTGTTTGAGCTTGAGAGGACTGTGTGGAGATTGGAGATTCAGGGTTTGCATATGACGGACTAGTATTATTATAGTCTTAGGCATGCGCAGTATAGTACTAATATCTAGATCTAGCTTGTCAGCGGTACTAAAAAAGATGGGATAGAAGACTAGTCGGCATTACGGCCCTACGGATGGGAAGAATAGGCTTAATTTCGGCCATCATTTAGGAGAAAATTTAATCCATTCACCCGGCCAATACTTGTAAGCACCACTACATTTGGTTTAGTCGACCCAAAGTCTGATCTCGCCAGTTTAGCCTAAGTGACTTCTGTAGTAGGAATTTCCCAACGCGCAAAACCCAGCCGGCCGGAGCTTCGCCGCGGTGAAATGGGTCCCGAGATATTAGCTACGCACGCGTCAACGGCCCTTAAGTTTCAAGCGAGGCCACGTTGCGGGCGGAAATTAATACTACCCGGGAGTTGGGTTCACGGCTTGTCACTCGTCTGGGAATGGCACCCGTTTGTGCCGTGTACCTACATGTAGTGTATACGTAGTGTCCCTTGAATTATAGCAACGTCTGCTAGTGCCGTGGCTACACAATTTAGATGCTGCAATTACATGTGATTCCTTCGTGCCTAAAATGATTACATGTGTTACTGGGATTACAATACTATCGTCTTGTTGTTGCTGAGTGCAGACTCTTCTTCCGTTAGGAGAGACTTTCAAGGATCTTTAGTCTCTAGTGATCTTAGAATGTCACACCCCGAATATAATTGAAGGCCCAAATTATCGTCGGCGAGAGTCAACCAGGTTAGCCCCGCAAAAGACATAAGCAAAAAGTGGCTTTGTCGCGTCGAAAACTTCACTAGCATGTTAGTGGCATTCTGGAAGCTGTTTTACCAACGTTACCGAGTGACATCATATGATTAACGATTCGCACACCTATATGCGATGCTCTAGGTGATATCTCAAACCAACATGAACGGCGCCCCCACGAGAGGCTCTAACATGTTCTTTTTTTATTTGGTTTGAGATTGTCCTATTCTGTGACGTGGTGAATCCTTTACGCGCGAGCTAGCATCAACATTCTCCTTTGAGTTCCCTATCAATTCTCAATTCGTCCCCACAACTAAGTCCACTTCCTTTTTCAGCGTGAACCCACTCGGGGGTACGTCGACTTTAGGTTGGATAGACACATCAAACTCAGCTCAAACAGTAGACCGATACGGCAGATCGAAATGGGGGCAGACTGATTGCTTATTGTACTGCATTGGATCCAGCACAACCTGCTACATACTGCAGGAACTTGTTAATGTATGTAGAGCACTCGTATTTTCCTGACGTTTGTGGACGCGACTGATATTGCATGCCATACAAAAATAGGCCAAGCTCATGATTTTGGGTGTATGCAATAATGGCCCAGTTCAAAAACGTCAGGAAGATGCTAGTATGGGGTTGGCCCTGCGCTAAGGTGATTGGGGGCCGGCATGCAGCACATCCCACTGCCGCGTTGTTATTTGTTATAGACGACCAACCAGCAAGGCACATATGTGAAATCAGTCAGACATATGTCCATCATTGGAAGTTCCCCCTAGTTCATTATTACTACCTATTTCGTGAGTTCAACGCAATTCACCATTGACCACCCTTAAGCTTGAGCTTCAATTGAGCTGCGCTGCTGCGCTCTGCACCAAGCACGACATTTTTTTTCTACCCTCGACCCCATAGCTACGGTACTGATCTACCCCCACTCTAGCACTCCCGAGAAACCAAAAACCCACACTGACCGCTCCCTTGGCGCAACCGGCCGGCCCACTCCCGCTAAATTCCAGGTTAATGGGACTGAAATGCACTGACATCTCTTTCCCTTCGGGAATGACGAGCTGTTTCGTTCTTCATTTCAATCCCAGCGTGAGAGCGGTGACCCAGCTAACTAGCTAGCTAGCTGGGGGACCTAGGAGGAGGACAATGTCCAATGTCCCACGGAGATTGTTTTTTTCGTTTTTCTTCTTCTAGAGTACTCTATGTGCCCCCGGGTCTACGCTAAAAAGTGCAGGGCAGGCCTGCTATTTAATATATGGAGTTTTGGCCCCATTCTGCGGCGCGGCGGGACCGGGATGGCTAGTTTCCATGCCACCGGAAATCTTGTCGGACCGACCCATCCCATCCCATCGTTTCTGACCCCAAGCGTGGGAGAGTAGAAGGTGGTGGAATGAGCTTAATCAGGAACAAATTTTTTTCTTACCAGGAAGATGGAGTCGCAGTTTGAGTGCTTGCTCGCTCCCCCCCCCCCCCCCCCCCCACCCCCCACGTTGACTTGGTGGTTGTGTAACTCGCGCTAGGTACCTGGAGCTAGGGCACTAGGTACATATCCCCATCTACTCTAAGTCCCCCTTCCGTATGTCTCGCCCGTCCGGCCGGGTTTCCCACTACGGCGCATCGGTACGGTACAATATCACAATTTATGATACCCACTACTCTATTACACCGTGTAGAGTATGTACATACTTACATGTACCCAGCGTAGCTACATGATCTGAGCTGGCCAAACCTCCAGCGCACTGCTTATCCTACACACACCCAATGCATCACAAATTTGTCGTCAGAGCACGAATATACGGGTCGCAAAGCGGTATTTCCTCTGGTAGAGCCGACAGGATTCGGATTAGGTGGGGTTGGCTAGTGTTACATGTAGCACATACATGCAGGTATGGTGCCCCCAGTCTTAAAGGTAACATGAGAAAAACGCCAAGTCTCGAATAACTTTTCAACCACGAGTGATATTAAAAATATGGAAAGAGAAAAGCTGGGTACCATGATGAAGAAGAGTTTGTCTTTCCATATTTTTGATATCGATCGTGGTTGAAAGGTTGTTCGGGACTTGGCGTTTTTCTCATGTTACCTTTAAGACTGGGGGAACCATACATATAGCGAGAGGAAGAAACAGAGGTGTTTAAGTGGCTGACTCGGCCAGTAGGGGGACTCTTCCCATACTTCAATACGTACATGTACATACTCTAGTTTTACCACGCTGTATGTAGGGATGCGACTGCTCGAAGTGGAGTTATTGGGGGGCCGAGAACGAGGCGATAGCCGAAGTGTAAGCGCGCCCCCCCCCAGTACATACCGGGTGTTGAGGGAATCTGATAAGTGAATGTTGCGGTGAATACGTGTATTTGTCTTATCAGATTCTGATCACTTTTCGCTACACTCTGTTATGTTAGGTCTTCTATAATGTACTATCGCTAATTTTTCGAATATTGGAACGGTCTGATTGGCTGCTGAGTGCAGGGATGTTGATTAGTCAGCACGACACATCAAAGTACTGAGCACTCACGAGAGGAGGAGGATGGGGCTGAAGGCCCCTCATGATTGTAGAGGGAGAATTAAATTTTATTTGATACCCATAATTCAACGTACAACTCGCGGTCGCGAGTTGGCACACCTCTAGTTTGTATGTACTCGCGCGGCCGGTTTGAAGCCGCTCAAAGAACTGTGGCGAGTGATCTGGCAGCCAATAAGAGCTCACGTTTTTGCAGTACTCAGATCAATTACCTTTTTTGTCTGAGCGGCTTCCCGGCAGCGCGAGTAGGCGCCAGACACAAAAGTACGTTCAAGCCATGCGCAGAACCCTAACCCTTGACACTAACGCCACACACTAGGCCGCTTTTGCCAGATCTCGTTATATGTAACTCTCTTATCAAATATCTACCGCTGTATTTGAGGAAATTCGTTGCGCTGCAGCAGGGGTCTTCTCTACCAAATCTTGCATACTCGCGCGTTAATTAAAAGGTCGGAAGTCGTTGCAACCAAATCCCCACACAAAATTCCGACCTTTTAATTAACGCGCGAGTATCCCTTCGTCTGTTCCCGCGAATCACAACTTATTAGCGTGGAAACAGCGTCGTGATCAACCAAAATCTAACGATGATAGTTTAAAGCACTAATCCATTGAGGATTTTTGCGTGACGAGTGGAGACAATTTTGCACCGCCGACCGCCGCTTCTAGCTAGGCAGTGAATTTTGTATGGTGAGCTACAGATTGCCGCAAGTCCCGAATACAGACGAAGGGATAGGCGCGCGCGTGTTCCCCCGCCCTTTCACTGAAAGGCTCCCTCTACAACTAACTATGAAGGACGAAGACCACGACTCGACGGGAGTTCAGCATCGACAAGATTCGCTCAACAGTATTCAGTACGCGGGAACGGATTCGAGCAAAGAGCAAAATGTCAAATGTCATCCGTTTATTCGTCAAGCCGAGGGCCATTCCCGGTTTGATTCCTGTTGGGGCTCATCGGTGGAAAATGAACGCCAATCAGTCCATTCAACAACGAAGGACGATTGTTACCGACGGTTCAAATGAACACTCTGAACTTCAGTCTGAGATAGAAATCAAGCGAAGCCCTTTCGGTGAAGCAAGCAGGGTACAGTCCGCTTGTGGTACCTAGCGAAACCGCCTGACTAGCTGACGTTTTCTGAAGTCCTCACTGGAAAATCGTGTCCTCCGTCTTGAAGATAACTTTGTTCAAGTTTCTAAGGTACGGTGTGGAATCCTTCAAAGAAGCTCAGCGTTATTGACAATGATTTTTTAAGGATATATCCGGAATCTACCAGAAAATCGGTGAAGTCGAGGGTTGCAATAGGCTTAGGTGGCAATGGCTTGGTAAGTGATTAGTAAAGTGGTATTTACTGCCGATGGCCAACTTATCTCTTCTAGCTGCTTCTTTACCTGCTCAAGAAGCATTTCGATGAACCAAAGAACGAGCCCCCAAGTAAGACTGAGATGCAGGCCTCAGTTCAGGAGATTCGCAACATCCTGGAAAGTATGAAGGCTACAGACTTGGCAAAGAAAAGCATTCAGAAGGCTTAAGCGGTAATTGCCAACGGTTTCCGGAGTTCTTATTTTCTTCGTATAGATAGAGGGTGGGAAGGCGTTGTGATAGGTTGCCTTTTTTTTTTTTTAGATGACCGAAGGGACGGGGTCTATTAGTCATTAGTGACTAAGCTAATACATGCATTATTTCTATTTCTACTATTTCTACTATTTCTACTATTTTATGTTATGGAGAAGGTACGGGGGCGAAGCCCCTATAGGAGTGACGTTCATTACCAATATTTATCTAATCCATCGGATCTTATCTAATCTTTTATTTAAGATCTCATCAGTTGAGAGGAGAGGGGGTACAGGGGCGAAGCCCTGTATAGAGGGAGGCGCCGGAAGGATTTCTGGCGGGTGCCTAGACATCTACCAGGGTGCCGCAGGCACCTATATGATTCCCTAGCACCAGACACCAGCCTAAGATGTACACGCAGTGCTACATCATTTCTATGTAAGGATCGAAGCACCAGTCTGAGATGTACGTTCAAGCCACGCGCCGAACTCTTACCTTTGACACCAACGCCACACATCAGGCCTTGGTGCCTCCCAAAGAGGAAGTAAATTCACTTACCCTACCGACACACGGGCGTATAGGCGCGTGTTCCCCGCCCTTTTTGAAAAAGGCTCTATCCTCTTTACAACTATTTGGCAACAGAAGATCGACGGCAATAGAGCTACCTCGAAGTTTATCACAGCTGAGAACCCTACACCCTCTTTATAGACACGGATCAGATATTGTAAAGTGAGGTTTACCAATAATATCAAGGGTGTTTATAAGCCAGATATACTGACGAAAATTCTTAATGATATAGGGACGGTGCAGAACGCTCAAATGTCGACTAGCAGCAGCAGCTCAATCGCGAACGGATGGTTCATTCTTCATTTCGAAGACTTGGAAAAGAAGCTAGAAAAGGATATTCTCTACCTGAACAATACTAAGCAATCAATCTCAGATGCGGCGCGTCAATTAGAACGCACGATCTTCGAGCGGTTTGGTCGGCTGGGTGACCTGGATAACGGAGATGGCTTTCGCATCGAAAGCCTTTCTCTTCTGGGCCCGGACTTAACCGATCTCCAGGTTACGTTTTCTCAGTTGGTTACGTATATCCGAGATCTGCCTGCATCTCCGAAAGCAACGAAACCAGATTTGTTTGGGCTCGGTAGCAACAAACTTCGAATCAAATTTGAGTACATAGAGCTCCAATTTTAGCGGGTGGTTTGGCAGGCATTGTTACTATATCTCTCTCCTTGATTAACTATATGATTATCACATGTGTTCGGCGCAGCTGAGGGAAGAAGCGAATGGGCTGCAATTTTCGGTCTAACCTCTTTTGTGATAGCGCGGCTCTTTGTCGCTTGGCTTGTAGTTGGCTTGTAGGTGGCGGCTAGTGGAGGAGGCGTGTCATGTTGGGAAGACTTATGGTCGGACTTGTAGCTTCGTCTCTTCTTTTTTCCTTAGGTTGCTTCGATTACAAAGAATTTGATTACTTGCTACAACTCTCTCGGATTACGAAATTTTTCTTGGGCGGTTTAAGTACGACAGTTCAGTGGACGTGACAACGGTCGCGACACTTCACATATTCGACAGAGCGAGTGTTAGTCATTTCTTAGTTAGCCATGTACGTACATGTAGTTAATGATACTTGCGTTTACTGTTGAAGTATAACTATGAGGAAGGGGGTATGGGGGCGAAGCCCCTGTACTAGTAGAGTAGGGAGCGCAAGCGACCGATTACTAACGGAGTGACTTGTGAGCGCAGCGAACAGTGGACACCAGCCTAACATTTACGCGTAGTGTAACCTCCACGCGCCGAACCCTAGCCCTTGACACCAACACCACACACCAGGCCTTGGTGCCACACACAGTCTTTTGACTAAAAGAGTAAGTGCCCCACTTACCCTACCGCACCGTGGGCGGGGCGCGTCCCCCTCCCCGCGCCCTTTCACTGAATGGCTCCATCACACGAAGGACGAGAACACCAAGACGACCTGAACCACCAACAATCAACTATCACGATAGTACCAACACTAGCGACAGCGATACGACACTCAGTGAATCCGAAGGCTCTAACGAGGCGAGATCAGCACCACAGGTACTTGTTCTTTATTTCTTCACAGTGATCACTGCTAATGATATATCAGCTCTTGCAGCATTCCTGCGTACCCACACCGGCCACTTTATCGTTGGCGGGTTCACCTTATTTGCCACCGGTGCAATCGTTTGGGATAACCGTCAGGGCCGTGAGCATGCTGTCAACCATCTTGATTCGAAGATCGATGGACTCAAGAAGGAGCTCAAGGAAGATATCAGCCATCTCAAGGAAGATATCAGCCGCGTCGACCACAAAGTGGATCTCACACGAAACAATGTCGTGTTGTTTGGACAGACCATTTTGAACGCTCAAGATGGTGATAAACAGCAATTACTCGGTGTTCTGCTCAAGATCGAGGAGTCCTGCAACAGGAGGTTGTTAGTGAAGCGGTGAGAGGATTACGGTTCGGTAGGGTCAAAAAAGGGAACGGGTTAGTGGTGTAAAGCATGGTATAAGTTCGGGGAGTTTTACACTAGGTGAGTTTAGTGAGCCCGATTGTTTGATAGTAGTCGATAATAAGCCCGGTGGAGGTATCTATTATGGCGACCGGGAGGAAGACGACAGCCTGCGTTGCAACAACCTCGGCTGTTCTTAACTCACAAAAAGCATCCCTTCATTCATACTTAAGCAATAATTGCGAACGGTTTCCGGAGTTTTTATTTTCTTTGTATAGATAGAGGGTGTTTGCATATCATAAGGCGTTGTGATAGGTTGCTTTTTTTTTCCGCTTGTACATACTCTAGATGACCGAAGGGACGGTGGTTTGTTAGTCAGCGGTGACTAAGCGGTGGATTAATATATATTTTTTTGTCTGTTCCCGAAATTCACCACCTCCGTCATCGAAAGATTTCCGATTCTTTAGTTGAGTTAGGCAGTGGAGACAGTCCTAGTCAAGCCAAGTAGGGCCCCGAACGGGTAGTGGAGGTAAGATAACGGTGGGCGTGTTAACTGCGCACGAATATCACTCCTTTAAACAAAATGCCACAGAAAGCCACAGGTGCTGATTACAGACGAAGGGATAGGGATTAGTTATTGTCGACGGATATTGAGGGTTAAGCGCCTGGGATGCCAGCGCGGGTGCCAGAAGAAAACTGCCAGGGTAGCGCTATAGCGCTAGGCACCTTCATGTAGAGTATGTACCTAGAGTACATGCATGTATTCCCTGGCACGCTGGAACCCCCGCCCTTTCTTTGAAAAGCTTCATCACTAAAAGAACACGAAAGACCCCCTCCACGTCCCCACGTCTCGAATGGGAACTCATTTGCTTTTTCCTCTCTTCCTTTCTCCGGGGCTCGGTGATGTTTCGGCAACCCGTGGCCGTGGGGGGGAAGCAAGGGCCGCACGGTATACCATAAGGGTAGATATCGATATAGTCCGCGGCGTTGGGCACTTCAAAACGGGCCGCTAAATCACAGATCGCGAGGACCTCCACGTAGGTGCTAGCACAGTGGGGAGGTCACGTCCACATTGGGTGCTCGTTATGGAGGGTCACGTCTACTCTTGGAAATTTTTCCCCATGAGTGGGGAGGAGTGGGGGGGGGGAGTACATAGAGGGTGTCAAAGGGAGATTTAGATCGCGATGTCTCCTCGGACAAATACCGATATCCAACGGGCCGGGCAGCTAGAGTACATACATACATGAAGTGGGAGAAGCCCCGACTAGGAAGGCTCGAGGGAAAAGAAAACAAACATTTCGAAACATCAACCCCCCACACATTCACCTGACTTGAAGAGGGAACCAACCCCCACTTTTTTGTACCTAATACGAGTGATATCTTGTGAATTTTATTTCTCACTAGATTGGGGGTTGTTATTTGTCCTTTTTTTTTTTTTTTTTGCCCGATCGAGAGGGGGTATAGGGTATCTTATGAATTCTGAGACTGAATCTCCGAGCATTGTTTTCGACCATAGCGATTTCCACGGTTACTGAGACCGCATGTTGATTGATAGTAGAGTGCACATGGATGTTGATGAAACACACGAGGTACATCACACCGAACCCATTCGCTGGGAGGGCTCAAGCCTGGAAGTGATGGAAGTGGTGAGAACGAACCATGGACCTGTTTTATTTCATTTTTGCGGGAGGGAAAGCTGTGACTAAAAGTTTGCAGACTAGGTCATCCAGTTGGGTGGCTAGGGGGGCACTGGTTGGGAGGCGCACGGTGGGAGTCGGTGGGGTGGGGGGGGGGGGGGGAGGGGGCGGAGAAGGATTGGGAGGGAAGCGTATGGTTATCTTGGTACTCGCAAAGTAGGCAAGTAGGCATTTTGCTGCCTACCTTGCCTTGTTGCTTTAATTACTTCAAAAAAGAAAGTATATTTGTGGGGGAGAAGGGCCTTGGTAAGCTTTGACCACAACACCAGGATGGGGATTAGTTATTGTATATCGCACTAACCCCCTGGACGGTAAGCAGGGTTCCCGAATGGGATGTGAGGTGCAATTAATGTAAGATGGCCAAATTACTAACCGGCCTTGGTGGGTGTGTTTATATCAGTGTCCCAGCGTTTAACTGGGTGTTTGTTTCTTGGTACCTCCTGGCACCCGGGCCATGGTTCACCTATGATAGCTACCCTGGCTCATCTTGCCCATCTGCTTGCTCATCTCATGTCAATCAGTCGCAATTTCATAGGCAGAGAGTTGAAGTTAACCACTCTACTTGGTTGACGACGACACCCCATGATGGCTACGACTACAATACGACTACGGAAACGCCTCGCGCTCGGTGGTGGTTCCGTGATCCAGGTAAGGAAGCAAAAGCCAATCTCTGCTCGTTCTTTACCTATCTCCCTCAATCCCCGTGCAGAATTCGCGCGGTGAAGAGCATCCTCGCCGACCACTTTTTTTTTTTTATTATCGCAGTGAGGTGATTGTGATGGGATGTGATGTGCGAAAACGCAAGCCAAAATCACATTCCCCTACCGGTACTCAAGAAACACCCATTCGAGCTCGTCGAGTGGGTTTGGTTGTAGACTTGAAAGCGGGTAACCCCCACGAAGCACCCCTTTTTTTCTTCCATTTAATTCCTATTTTCGTATTTATCTCTGTTTATCTATCTTACTCGGGGGCGTCTCGTGAGAGCTCACTCGGTTACAGGGGTCGAAATAAAACTATCATTGGTTCCTTTGATACTCACCGCAGGGAGATGTGAATTGTAGTGCTTGAGTGGAGAGATAGGACTTTTGAAACAAAATGAAGGCAGTAGCGAAGGAGAGAAAGACATTTCCCCACGAGTGCGAGCGAAGTATGCGATTATCAACATGCACATGACGGCTTAATCCGGTCGACGAGCAGATAAATACTCTTTTTCTTTTCTTTCCTTTTGTCTCTCGCAGGGGGAAAAAAAGTAGGCAAGAAAAGTAGGCAACTGAGATTATGTTTCGCTCATCGCCCCCGCCCCCGCCCCCCCCCCCCCCCCCCTCTTTGCAGCTGGCACCACTCTGTTGGTACTAGTCCTTTAATTCCCAGCGCCACAGCTATGGATCAGTTCCACGATACCTAATTCAAACAACCGTCCTCTTTTCCAATTTCAATAGACCCTTCTCCTCTAGGTAATCCACGATGATCTTGACCGCTTCCTCAACGCTCACTTTGTCTGTCTCGATCCTAAGTTCCGGCTTCTCTGGCGCTTCATATGGCGCAGAAATCCCAGTGAAATCTTTGATTTCACCCGCACGAGCCTTCTTATAGAGTCCCTTGGGATCGCGAGCTTCAGCTACCGCAATGGGGATATCGATGTGAATCTCGATGAAGGGGATTGATTCGTGGACCTTCCGGGCTGCGGCACGGTCCGCAACGTATGGGGAGATAAAAGAGGTGATTGCGACTGTAGAAGCGTCCGCGAACAGCTTGGATACCTATTGTACAATCGTGGCTGTTAGCAATGGTGATCCTTGTGAGAGGGCTGTGGTGGCTGCCATGCCGGTGATCGTGGTGGGTAGTAGTGGTGGCGAATGCAAAGGGGAGCGGGAGCGGGGGCGGGCACTAAGCTGCGGTGAACAGGTAACCTACTTCAGCTATGCGGCGAATATTCTCGTTGCGGTCCTTCTCGGAAAAACCGAGGTCTTTGTTTAGGCCGAAACGAACATTGTCCCCTGTGACCCTCGTGAACCGGGAGTCAGCCACCCGTTTTATCCCAATCAATTGGTCGTGTTCCAGCGCTGATGTCGCGATCCCGAGCACCACCGCCGCCATTGCTCCACTAATGGGAAACAATAAAAGTCTCCCCTTGCGCGAGAAACGATTTCAAACAAGCGCTGCCCATGCGATGCAGTGATGCCATTGCAACTGAACCGCATAGCTCCATGCGCCCGATGGAAACATTCTCCAAAGAATCAAGGCATAAACAGGCAGAAACGAATTACACAATCGATACATACCGTCCAATCTGTATGCAGCTACACCGTTGTGTAGCAAGTGCTGCTCCAGCGCTGTAGCGATTGTCGACTTCCCCGAGGCAGAGAGACCCGTGAGCCATATCGTGAAGCCCTGTTGTCCACGAAGAGCGTTACGCTCTTCACGTGTAAGACCCGCATGCCACGTAATATTGCTTTATAACCCACAGGGAAAAAAAAACAACGGAGAAAACGTCAGTAAATTATGTATTTCTTTAAATCTGGCAATTGACGATGATGGTGATGGAGAGAGGACGCTCAGTCGGCAGCCACTCACGTTGCCATGATTCTATCGGAGGATGCTGCAGAAGGCAAATGCGAAACCGTTGAATTCAATTGGGGGGGTAAAACGATGAGGCTCGACGAGCGGGGTACTTGAAAGTTTTGCGAGGGTCAGCTGCAACGATCTGCAAGATTCAATACAGTAAACCAATTACTTCTGGGGGAACATGTAAAGGCTCACTTTTTTTATGGTCCTGTCTTTTTCCCTCTTTGACCTGGAGAGCAGCAAGCAGCAGTAGCAGTAGGCGAGAGTTATAAACTAGTGCGCCGGAAATTCAATCGAATGGTGATGATGAAGAGGGGTAGGTATCGTGAAGAAGGAAACTTTTTCCTTTTCCCCTTCGTTTTCCATTCATCCTTGAGGATGTTGTTGTTTCCCCACCCGCTCTAGCATTCCCGTGTAATGACGTGCTTTTTGGACCCTGAAACGAAAGACGCCATATCGACCCCTACTCTACTGTAGTCAAGGGTACAGCAGGTACTACTACATCTACACACTCCTCGAGCATAATTGATTGATAATTGCATATTGATATACCTCCAACTTCCAACCTCTCATTCCGAATTCTTGCATCTTTAACTGAGTAGTACATGCGACTGTAGGTAAAGTACATGTATGCACCTTTTAGTAGGTGTAACCATCAACTATCACCGGCTTTCTCCCCAGCCCATGCAGTTGATGCAGGAAAAAAAAAATATGTATGTCCGTTGGTATGCAGTTTCCATATGTCATTCATATTGTGTCCCGATCAATTTTCCTCTCTGACGGTTTCTCCACCACTGCCTACCACTACCACTACACACCCCTCCATCCATCCTAGGATCTTAGGAGCCAATGCGGCCATGTTTTTTTTGGCAGCTTTCTCCGCACACGCGAGCACTCCAGACAGACGCCGAATCGCTGGCGGTGGCGCTAAATAACACGTTTTGTGTTGTGTGTGAGTGTGCGTCCTGACTCCTCTGGTTACCATTTCGAGAGGTGGAGGCTTTCCACACCTACCTAATCCCATTGCAGGGATATCGTTGCCTGTTGCTCCAACTGAATTCATGAAGGTGTTGAAAGTTCGGGATTCGGGTCCCGGGTCCATATCAAGCTTAGCCCTGGTCCCACCACCACACCCTCCTCCCCAGCCACAAAACCAGGGTTCGTTAGCTTGGTGTGTAAAATACTTGGAAACAGTAACCCAAACAAACCCTATCCCTGCAGCCTTATGTTGGGCCCAGGGATCCCTAACCCAGTGCCCAGATTTGTTTACGGCTCACGTGCATCAGTAATCATCAATAAAACACCTTTTTACGGAGCCATCCAGCACTAGGAGCCAGTAGGAACCAGTAGGGAGTTGGTGATATGAAAAAATAAAATAAAAATTTCACTTTGAGGTCTACCCGTAGCCAATCTCTTAAATTCCGTACTCTGCCAGTGAGGAAAAAAAAGATGGAACTACCGAAACACGGACCATGTGGTACACAGAACGTATGTACTCTATTAAGCAGCAAGAAGATCACACAAAACTGGGAAGAAAAAGGTCCAATTTACCAAACTCTTTGATCTGCGAGAACCCGTTCCGCGGGACGGCAGTTCAATTTGAATTTCGAATTTACCCTCAACATAGGAAAAGAGAGACTTTCAACACTTTTACACTCAGTGAGATGGAAAAACCAGGGAAAGATGTCTAGCTTTTTTACGCCGTGGCGGTCGCCTTCTATTTCCAAGGATCCCTTTTGAAATTTTGTTTGACTGCCCACATTTGCCGTTCCGCTCTCGTCTCCCTTCTCAGAGCATCCTTGGAAGCTCCCGCTCTTGAGCCGCTTTGGCAGTACCGGCACCACAGGAGAGGGTGGGAGCCAAAGCCTGTCATCTTGCCCTGTCGTCCCTGCCTGAGCACCCTGAATTGTCTGTGCAAGCTTCGTTCTTTCGTGGTTCTCAATTATGTTCCATGTTTCCGCTCAAGACAGACGGAGAGCGAAGCGAGACATAACTAACTTTGTTATGAATGTAGGCGAAAGGGGGGGGCGAAAAAGTGTTTTTAGATACCCCAGGGACCCGTTTTCCAAGGTTATCAGCCTCATGCAGTCTCATTGGAAGTTTCCTAATCGGGTTTGGAATAGGCGTCTTCCTGTGAATATTGCATAAGATTAGTGCGATATGTATAGTGAGCTCTCTAGCCAGCTAGACCATGGCATTCTTTTTTTTCCCTCCTGCTGTCTCATAGCCGCGACCTGATGGATCCGCTCTCCCATTCGTCCACTATCCGAGTCCTATCCGAGGACAACGAAGGTTCAAGGAACTCCAGAAAAGCTTCCAGGAAGGTAGTCCAGGGAAAAATAAGCACGGATAGTTTGCAAGTGGTATCGAAATACTCAATGGGGGAAGGACAATGATGTGTCATCCCTTCCTTGATCCCCCTTCCCGGACGCACTGTTACAGACAGAGATATATCGTATTTTTATACAGCCCCTTCAGAAAGATCTGCCCTACAGATATGCTAGTCAGCGGCTCTCCAGGATCACATTGAGTATGTTGTCTTGTCTGCCTGGGTGGACTAGATTTGTCTAGATTCCTATCTCTGCCTCACGGTTCCCCACCAACGATGATCGTAACATACTTACATCATATCGGTCTGCGTTGTTGTCAATCCGTCAGTAAGGGAAGGGAGCGTACGATAGTGGAAGGGTGTGTGGGGGGAGCTTTTGTCAGGAGCGACAAAATAAGGAAATAGCTTCTTGCGAAGGAAGGGTGAAGTGTGAAGGAGGCCGGTCGATTATCCATTGTGAAATTCCCGATTGCAGACCAGCCTGATGAGGTGTAGTGCTTCAGATCTTTTACTTTGCTTGATAGTTGCATGAATTGATACGGGGGCCGCGATTGTTGATTGCGGAGAGCTCACTAGAGCTGTGGATGGAAGTGGCGCCCATGAGACTGTAAGACTGACCAATTGCTCCATGTGGTTGATGCAGCTACCCATACGTTGTAAAAAAACTAGTTATATTTGGTGCAGAGGAAATCGAGTACGAAGCCTGAAGGGTAGGTAGGCCGTAGAGATCCCTCACACGCCTCAAACCACTTCAGACGAGCTATGATCATTGGCATTTAGCATATTCCATAGAGAACTACATACTCGTGCCACCCAACACACATACGGGGAAGCTGGGAACGATGGAACACGAAATAAGTGTGAGCTGAGGTGGGGAGGACAGATCATCAATTATAGTTGCAATGCCCATCGTGAGTAACACTCTCACGATAATCACTGAGATCGAGGACCGGACCGTCGACGAGCTCGGGGAGAAGAGTCAGCTGCTTGTGAATATGTCAATAGAGCTACAACTTGGATTGCCTTGAATGGGAATATATTCATGTTTTGTACATACGTACATATGTCAATAATTGTAGCATCCACTGCTGAAAACCCAAATGAAGGGTCCAGGCTAGCTATCTGTCATGGGGAAGGCTGGTCCCAGCACATAGGAGGCAGAGGGAGCGAATCAAACGTCCCTTTCAGTGAGGACATCTGGAACAATCCCTTGTCTGCTTCTTTCGGGAGCATTACCCCAGAATTCTCCTGTTGTAGAATAGCTTGAAGTTCGTTAGTGCCATTCGGTACTTCGTATGCTGATACGTGCTAGGTACAGCCGCCAGCTGATTTGGGGCATGTAAGGTATCTATGTACCGCAACTACTCTACATGTAGCAATGCATCTTGCAAAGCCGCTCAGAACACGCAACTTTTAGGCCCCACGAATGGTGAGGCGAGAAGGCTCCCTGTCAGGTTTTGATGTGCATTCCCTGATCTCCACGGATCCATTAGTATGTTGGTGATATTCTCTGATCTAGTGTTTAACGGCAATGAGAAAACGGTACGCGTTAATCTGCACCTGCTTGGCCGTATAAACAATTTGACCTAGTACTAGTGAAATTATTTTTTTGCTCTACAGGCCAAACAATTGCTACCAATATATGTAAGATCGTCGCCGCTTTCTTGTTTTAGGCCTTTTTTTCTTCAGCCTTTCGAAATTCCCTACAGGCTGCTAGCACTGTAGCCTGTAGAACTTTCAATATCAATTATCGAACACTGCGAAGTCTGCAAGCATCCCCCTTCTTCATTAATTTGTGACCCTGTGCCATGAGAGACCAATATTGTGCAGGTATCCAGTCAATAGGCTTTCTCTCGCTTTTCTTTTTTCCATATCCTTCCACCAGCGAGGCATGGGTGGTGGCATGTAACAGAGCCGTAAAAAAGGCGTGATGGTAACACAGAATTATAACCACCCTCAACACTGATATGCCGACGCCGAAAAACCGTGAACCCACATATCAATGAAGAGTAGTGACATGGCCCAGAGCTCTCTCCGCCAACCGAAGACCTCAAAAGAGTATATTTATGGTCAGGACTTGCTGTAATGGCTCTGACACTTGGACGGTCGATCCAATGGCTAGCCTTACATAGGAACTTCCAACCCATTAATTCATTCAGTGGGGAACTGCGTGCTACTGGGTTAAAGTTTGGAATTGGCCTTTGAATGATTAAAGTCTCGTCCAAGAAATGTAAAACCCAAAACATACGAAAAAAGATCTAAGTAACCTCCTTCGAGAAAAAACTTAGTCTGCGTGTACAGCTCATCTCAGCTTCCCCCCCTTTGTACTGTATCCCATACGCTCGCCCCGCATTAAGGTGCTGTAGCGTTATTCGCCTAGAGAGTCACATATTTTGACAATTGCTTGCCTGCTGCTGCTGCTGCTGCGGCTGCGTGGGAGCCCCGTTCTCCCCCGCCTACTCTTCCTTCGTCGTCATCGCCGCATGTATATTATTCGCGTGCGAGATACCCTTTTTTTTTTTTTTTTTTCTTTTTTTTTTTTTTACAGATCTCCCTTTCGTTGCCTATTGACTGCCTGTTCTGCCCTTGCGAGGAGGAGTTGCAGATTAATGCAATCGTGTCTTATCCTCCGCACTCCGATAGGGGAGAATAACTGCCTATCGGCCGGTCTCCTCGAACACCACCGTGCCACTTGTAGTGTCTGCCTATTCTCTACCTATGTATTCGCATCCCACACATCCTTCTTTCTCCGATGGTGACCCTGGTCCATCAATAATGCGTCTTGTTTTGGGTTGTGTGTGGCGCCCCGAAAGAGCTGTCCCAGCCCACCGGGCGGACTCAAGCCCCAAAAAAGAAATTCGAAATAACAAATAGACCAGGCCACCATTTTCAGATCAGGGGTGTGTTGTATTGTACTGTCGTGGTAGTATATGTAACACCAAGGGAGCTATGTAAAGGCCTAAGGATGATTATGATTATGATGATGTTTTGTCGATGATGATGATGGTGACGATGCTGGATGAGCATTTACAAGGAAGAGTGATATGTAGTTTCAGTGGATAGATAGATGGAGAGGTTCTTGAGGAGATTTGTTTGTTACAGAACACGAATTCGAAAAAAATAAAAACAAAACAAAAACCTTGGGATCGGGATAGTTATTATTACTATTGTTTTTTTATTTAAATTGTTATTTGCCTTGGAATTTGAGGGGGACGAGAGTTCGCGAAGACCTGGGGGAATGCAAGTGTGCGTGCGTGTGGAAATTATTTATATACGCTAGTCTTCGTTGACTCCATGTTTCTAGTTCTACCAGTCACAGGGGGGATGGGAGCTAGGTCTGGCACGGTCAACAAATTACTCGGGTCAACCGTCATGACCATGCATGACCATTACCATGACCGTGACCATGACCATGACCATGACCGGTGTCTAGTGTCCACTGTCAATGTCAGTGTGACGTGACCTAATTTGTCCTCACTCTTACTCTCATTCTGAACCACGGTAGATCGAAGCAGGCGGGCTCCCCCAGGCTCCGATTTTCCCCTAGTCCACTTGTGCATCGTCTCGGGCATCCTGCTTTTGGCAGCAGCAGAGCCTGCACAGCGCAGAGCAACGCAGATTTTGGGCCCTTTCCGAGTCTTTTGTTGGGGGAGTAGGGAGATGTAGCCGGCTACCGTAGTACTCTATTGCTGTTGTTGCTTGCTTGAGAAGGAGGAGAATGAGGACCGGTCAAGAATTAGACAACAGATGTTCTAAGGTCCTACTTTTTTACTACAACTGCAAGCGCAGTATTATTCACATCCCACATCGACATCCCACATCCACCCACTCAGCACTCCACTCCCACCCCCCTCTCCCCCAAAAAAACAATATCCCAAATCTTTACTCACACAAACCACCCCCCTTGCCAGCCGCAAAGTAAAGACTATAATTTTTTTTGTTTTAATTTTTTTCTGTAGACACACATTTCCACCCCCCGCTTTCCAAACTTCCCGTTTCCTTGACTCCCTGCGACCTGCCTCTTCCCTGGTCCGTTGGTTGTTGACCTGCACAATATTGCACAATATTGCACATATTTTTTTTCAATCGATAACCGAAACTCATTCGATCCGAAGGAGGGAGGAGGGCAGAGGCAGACCCGAAAAATTATTAGTCGTCGGATATATATTTCTCCCACCTACCTAGTCGTAGATATATAACTACATGCATATTCCCTCCCTCCGAGAAGTTCTCTTTCAACTGCACCGGCGAATACAGACTCGATTTCTAGGAGTGAGGTTTTATCAGTGTTACTATTATTTCTGCAGGACAAAAGGGTCGAAAAAGGATTCAGCAGAAATTAGGAGGGCCAGGAATTGACAGCAAAAAATATCCAACGATCAATGCCTGAAGGCCATTTACCAATACACAGTCGAAACCAAGTCAAAAGGCTCAAGCGACATCTTGGACACCCATACCAAAAGAAGAAGAAGCGATTAGGACATCCGTGCACCCTGCCTCTGCCCCCACACCCACACAGCAACCGATAAATTTACTTAAATACACAAAGTTCCCTACAACCCTACCCACCCTACCACCCCCATCAACCACCACACTACTTCAACATCACCTCAACTTCTATTCAACACGACTTGAATATTAGTTCGCATCTATCCATACAGTACCCATCTACAGCAAAGAATTATTTCTACACCGCTACGATGAGTTTCTTCGATAGGTTGTTCACTCTCGTCCTTACTAGGGACCAACGGGAACGTCACTCTCGTGTCAAGTGGGAGAAGACAGTAACAAAGTCCGAGGACCTGTTCATTCCCTCATCTCCTTGCACTGCTCCGATGACACCTTCTCTCTCATCTTCATCATCATCATCCTCAATATCCTCGGGTAGCTCTTCACCTAGCCGATCAAGGCCAGGAACAGCTCACTCCACCTCGCCCCGATTCGACTCAAGGCCTGAATTCAGACGCCACACATCAATCAAGAGAAATCCAATCTCATACGACTGCCTTGTTGCCGTTGAGAAGGAAACTAAGAAGCCAGCAACTACTACCGTCGTGCAGCCACGCCTCTACCCTCTCCCACCTTTGGGACCCATGGAGGGAGTTGGCAAGTACAGACGCAGCATCCACGTTAGCGAGCAGTTCATGGATGCCAACCGAAGAGATAACCTCGCCGCTCTTCAACCACTTCCGGATGAAGATGACGATGTTGAGATTGAACAACGCACTGGTCGCAGAAAGTGGCGCACCGATTCCACTGGCAACCGTGACACTACTACCCCACCAAGAGGAAGCTCAGCCTCCCCCAAGATGGAGACTGCAGATCTTCCGGATCAACCATACTACGACTCAGAACCCAAGAAGGATTCCGGTATCGGTTCATCGCCACCAGCGCCAAAGAAACAGAGACAGCGCAGCTTGCCTCCACGATGGAAGAAGCAGAGCAAATCAGCTTCGCCACCAGTGATTAAGGAGCTTGAAAACGACAGCGAGTTTGAGGATGAGGAGGTCGAGAAGAAGCCGGTAGTACGTGTTCAGAGCAAGAAGAGGCTGCATGCACCGGTTGGAAAGCGAGCAGGAAGGGGAGGAGTCAAGGCAAAGGCAGTGATTGGTCTGCCAGCGCAGAGGAAGAAGGTCAACGCACCGGTTGCGGCGCAGGTTTTGGGAGCTAGCATGGAGACACTTGTGTCTGGAGAGGAATAAGCAGTAGGAGTTACTCTTGCGAGTGATGATCTGTGATTCAGAGTTTTTATTTTTCTACAACTCTCACGATCCTTTTAACATGGTTTCATTTGTTTTTGGGAGGATTGTAATTTTTTTTTTTAGCGGGTTTTTCTCTTTTGTCTCTGTATAGCATTGGGTTGGGTTCTTTCTTTTGTTGGGTTGGGATTTTTCTCATTGGGGTGGCGTTCATTTTTTACGGTTCGGCTGGGAATGGAGTACGATCAAACGATTCGATGAGTTTTTTTAACTGTCTTTTAACATAAGTACCATATAACTAGTGCAGTACATATATAACTACCTATGATAAATACTTTTACATTACTCTGCTCTGCTTTGTGAATTTACGCTGTGTACTTGTCCTTGAAGCAATCGAACAAGAGAATAATTTGTAATTAGGCGACAATAAATTTGACTCCCTTGTTCCTAAAACTATAGACACCGATCTATACAGCTTGCGCCTCTGCAGAAGTGTCTTTGCGTCTAAGTTGCGTGCATCTGCCTATCCGCCGCGTACTTGTACATCCCCATCCGACCGAAGGACGTCCCCTCCAAATTACCACGATGTGGGAGGGTGGGGAATTAATCGGTATGCTGTCGGTCAAGACTTCAGGCCCAAACTAAGGGCGAGAATGATGAATGAGCATGGCCAGCCCTGGGCCAGGTGGAGTGGAAGCGGGGGGGGGGGGGAGATGTACTGGTACATTGTCGCGTGTGCACTGGTGTGGGTTTCAGGGCCCTCGATTCTGCCGGGGGGCCAGTGGCTGCGGTTGCGTATGTACCAGTACTTTACTCCAGCTGCCCACTCGTTTAATTCTGGTAACGGGCTCCAGTTGGTTTGTTTGGTTGACATGACTTTGACCGGAGATGACTCAAGCTAGAACAACTAGTCTGGTTTACTCTAGACTGAGGGACCATCACAACCAAAACCACCCACTCACAGCTTATCATTCGTTGTCGCACGCAGCCTATCAAGAAACAACAACGAGAAAAGACGGATTTAGCCACACTGGACTCGAACTCTTGTTTAATTCACTGCACCACCACCACGACCACTACCACCACGAGCTCTCATCCCTTCGTTCATCACATTCATCCATGGAAGAGGCAGGAAGGCGAGTACGCAGGAAAGCAGGCAGGCCATCTATCAATCAATCAATCATTCAGCCTAGTCCCCCCCCTCCCCCCAGCCCGACCCAACCTTATCACAGCCCATTCAGAAAACAAACAACTAAATCCACGTACAGGCTTCTTCCTCATCGAGCCGAGGGAGACGCACATACAGACAGCCCTATCATCATCACTAAACACAAGTCGAGTAATACCCCATCATCACATCATAATGCATCAGAAACCGACTAACCCCACCATCCACCAATCACCTCTCGCTCTCTCAATTCGAGGTTTTTTCCCCGGTTCAGAGAGCTCGAGCCTTACTGCATGCCCGCCGTTTCCCAATCTCCAATACAATCTGGCCACTCCCGTCTCACATTTTCCTTTTTCTTGGGCTTTTTGTTTGATTTCGAAGGTTACACAAGCAGAGCAAACAGGCCAAACACGGGTTGGAGATCGGATGGAATTAAACAGACTTCTAACTAAAACCCTTCGTAATTACAGAGAGCTAGAGGATACTAGCAAGCAGGTGCCCCTCTATGGACTGTGCTCTAGAGCTTACTTTGTTAGCTTCTAGACTAGACTGGACGAACCACCACTGCCCCTTTGCTATTATTGACATGACAGGCTGGGCAGTGGAGGTGGTGCCGGTGGTTGTTGTGGTATCCTGAGTGATTGAGTGGTGAGTGAGGTGAGTGATAATAGCTGACCCATACGGGCCCTGTATTTGAAAACTACAACAACTACTGGTCGGGACCGGGATCGGGATTCAGGTCAAGAGGAAATAAGCTAGGGACTAAAAACCAGATTTTCGTTTTTTTTTTTTGTTGCCCTTTTCCCCACCGCTTTCCCCCGGCGCAGCTGAAATGGAGGGAATGCAGTGGAGTGATTTGGTAGAAGGTGAAATTGATGATGGCAGCATAATGACGCACTCTGAAATTCTGATAGCGGTGGTGGTGAAGTAATGTTGCTTTCCCCCTCCCCCTCCCCCTCCCCTCTTTTGGAGGATTTTCGTGATTGCCCGCACTCATATCTCGCATCTCATCTGCATTGCGTGCGTGCGTGCGGTAGGTAACGGGTCGTACCTGCTTGCTGGATTGCTTAATTGCTACTAAATGTGAAAAGTACAATGTGGATGCATTTACCGACATCAATGACTTCGCACTAGAGTTGTTGTACTTAAGTGAGTTGTGACTGAGAGTAGTAGAGTGATAGTCTAAGACTCACACACGACAGTACTGCAGTCATTTATCGAGTCATATTTTGCGGGTACTCACTCGCTCACTCCACTACCTAGCTACATAGTACATGTAACAAACTACATTCTTCAAATTTCACAACTCCGTTTTTTCTGACTCGAACTCCACTCATGTTGCTACTTGACTTATGCAGCTACTATACTAGTACTGAACCAAAACTCGTTGGTTATGCATGCACGTGGGCGGAATCAGTCCCTACATGAAATTCTAACAAAGCTGAATAACAATTTCCCCCAATTCCCAAATTCTTTTTTCTGGGGAAACGGCCTCTCGTTGTTCTCGTTTGTCTTTTTTTTATTTTTTCTCTAATTCTCGTCTCCCAGCTTCCCCGCCCTTGGCTTTTTGCTGAGTTAGATCAGCCCATGTCCATGGCCGGTCTGATCAGAAATAAACCATTTCGAGTTGCATGGCTGGACCAATTGCTTATTTTCTTATTTCCTTCAATTACTCCAAACAATGTGTTTTTCTACCCCTCATGATCATCCATCCATCCCTCGCCCTCCCGACCCCTTGCTGCTTCGATCTGGCCGTCCGTCCGCCGCCAGATGCGCGTAATTAAATCTCATCGCCGTTAGTTTCTTTTTTTCCTCTTCATGGATTATTCCTGTTTCAATGCCCCATGGCCAGCTGCCAGCCCAAGATCTGATTGCTCGCCCCCGCAATTGGCAGGAAAAAGAAAATACGAAAACATGGATTCGAGATGTGAGAAGAGCAGTGGAAGGAAGAAGAGAACCGGGTAAGCTGGTCTAGGGCTTAGGGGGGAGGGCAGCGGATGTCACAATTGGGATGTTTATACAGGAATTGTTTTTGCCCGATCAGGCGGGATTCGAATTGATGAAAATATGCAGTGGAGGATGGAAACAGTGTAGAGTGGAGGAGGGTAGAAGGGAATAGAGTAGAGCTAGAGTACTACTATGGAGATAACTCTATTTCTCATCAAAACCTGGGGCGTGGGCACGATGGGGCTGGCAGTGCAGAAGGAAAGAAACCTTAACCATAAACCGTAAAAAACATAAAATCGAATTGACCATCGGTCAAGCAAACCACTCGCCCCCTCCACCCTCCACTCAAAAAGTCAAAATCGTTGACCTGCGTTTTGCAATCTCCCCTCGACGACTCTCGTGGTATCAATTTTAGGTCCCGTATCTAGAACTACCACCAACAGCACCTGCCCCCCCCGAAACGGTGCAAGATCGTTGGCCACACATAACCAACCGCACTCCTCATAACCAGGAATTAAAACTACAATAATGACTGATCACCCAGCACGTGACTTTTCCGCGACCAGCTGCCAGAGAGTAAGTCATGATCAGGGTCAAACAAACAAACAAACAAAAAGCCTAGATCGCGCCCCTCTCCTCAATTGATCCATCGGCGGTAAACAAACAAAAAGAACGAAGCTAGGCCCCACGGCGGTTTTTGTGTGGTGTGTAGGCGTATTGTAGACTCGACCATACCATCATGATCATGATTATGATCGTCAGGGCCAGAACAAAAAGCAAAACCTGGGCAGCAACAACCGCCAAATTACATACAACAAACACTGGTGTCTCTCGACCTCTCGACCTCTCGACCTCTCGGCCTCCCGACTGACACAAAAGAACCGACGAACGGGGCGGGCGGCTGCACGATTGCAACGTCTGATAGGGCCACGGCGGGAGATTAAACGAACGAAAAAAGTCTGGGGTACATATGAGTGAGGTAAGGTAAGGTACTAAGGTAGGCATCCAAAACAAAAAACAGCCCTAGCTCATCTTCCATGATATTATCGATCGAATCTCGAGCTCTGAATCCCTCGATGGATGGGGAACGCCGAGAGTGCTGCCGGGACGGTGTTATCGTATCCGTCGTCTAGTCCCTTTGTATGGCCCAGGTTGATTAAGGGCATATTGATACGATACGATACGATACGATACGATGCCTCGTTTATTGAAGTTAATAGTGGGGGAGAGGAGGATCCGGAGGAGCGTGAAACAAAAATACAAATTGCAAGGTTTCTATAAAATGAACACTCCCTCATGGATGGCCAGCCACAAGCGAGAAGGCATCCAAAACATGTTACTCTGGACAGCTAGCTAGCAGGCACAGCACGTATTCCCTTCCCTCCCTTCCGTCCCTTCCCTTCCCTCGTCGGCCCTTAGGTCATCTAGAACGTCAGAGTAGAGTAGGGCTTTCCCCACACATTCCTTACCTTAGCAGGCTTACCCTTACCTCACCTCACTTTCCCTTACCCTTCCCTTCCCCTTCCCCTTCCCACCCCGTACCGTACCCCCCACACCCACCGCGCCCAGCTCACCACACCACACACACACCACCCCCTCGAAACAAATTCAAACAAACCAAACAAGTAGGATCACCATGATGAGGCGGCACCGCCCCAACGGCGAGGCCAGGCCAGACCAGCCAGACAACCAGACAGCCAGCCAGACCAGACCGACCGGTATGGTCCAGCGTCTAAAAAAAGGAACACTCACCACTCACACGCTCACATTCACACTCACACACACACACACACACCCTCTCCCACTCACGCTCTCACTCTCGCTCTCCAGGTCAAGTCAAGAGTCAAGTCCGTCAAGTCACAGCGGCACTGTACCTCTCGCAAAGCAA